TTATTACCACTGTTGTGTAATTTCTTTTTTTTAAAAAATATATTTTATTGAGTTTTTACAGAGAGGAAGGGAGAGGGATAGAGAGTTAGAAACATCGATCAGCTGCCTCCTGCACACCCCCTACTGGGGATGTGACCACAACCAAGGTACATACCCTTGACCAGAATCGAACCTGGGACCCTTCAGTCCGCAGGCCAACGCTCTATCCACTGAGCCAAACCGGTTAGGGCTGTTGTGTAATTTCATAATAGTAGTAAGCAAATGTAGTTATTGATGTTATAAAGGTTAGAAAGGAGGAGGTAAAATTATCACTGTTGGAAGGTGATTGCATTAGGTTGTACCTGAGAACTTAACACAAATAGGATTCAGTAAACTAGTGGGAAGTGAGAAATATATATAAATAAATATGAATATATTAAATATATATATGTATATATTGTAACACACACATTTGCTAAATGAGGAGGGTCTGTAAAAAAGGTATTTCCAAAGTAGATCATGTGCTCTATTTCTGAAGAGTGTCTTTTATCCTACCTAATTGCCTGCATTTCCACAAGAATCCTAAGAGAGTATACTAGTAATAAATTTAGAATGTTTTATATCACAAATTGTTAATGCCAAAAAAGTAATTACTCAGGAAGTATTTATAATGGAATCTACATTAAATTGAATTGTGTTCAGTTAGATTACAGCAATGCAATATATTGGTCCTCTGTTTTCATAGCATAGATTTTTAAAAACATTTTAGTAACTGTTTAAAATGTTTAAATATGCTTTAAATCAATCCTGTAACTCAGAACATAAGCTTCTACTACTCACAGGAGAAATATTTTTTGCAGAGGAAATTATTTTGAAAGATGACTAATGTTTCTCTGCTTTGTGGTCTTGGCTTTTTGAGCAAAATATGGTGCTTTTCTTTAGCAAAGTAATGTAGGCAGTTAGAAATCAGATAGTCATTTGAAGAGCTGTTTACAGATTATTTGGCAATAGTGCCTGGGTTGAAGGTGTGTGTATGTTAGTGTTTTGGAAGCTCCCTAGGTGATTCTTTGTTTGGTTTAATTATGTCTGTTGTGTTTGTGATTATATGTTATTTATATTTTAAGACATACAAGTAAATAATTGTTCTTTCATGCCCAGCTTAATAGCATCAAAAGAAATCTGACTTTCCACATCCTTTGGCATAAAAGTTTATCAGCCAAACTTTAAAAGTAGGAAATTAGAAGGAAGTTTTTCAAGTACCATGAGGAAAGAGAACCATATTCATTTCACACCAAACATACAAAGCTATATATATATCTGCATGCTCTCACCTTTATCTTCTAATGTAATTTAAACTCAACTCCTAAAGAGCCTGAATCAAGGAAAACTACTCTCAGTGCCTGTCTCTGAGCTCTGCATTTTCCAGTCCCTGGGCTTGGAATGTGGAGGAGATGAAAGAAAACAGACTTGAGAATATACAAACATGAGCTCAGACCTTCCCCAGAACTTCACCCAGAACTCCCCCAGCTCCTAAATTTCACTTGAAAATGTGTTTGGTGCTTTATCTGAATTTTGGGTTGTCTCAGGGATGTGCCTGATATTAGAAAGCTATTCCATGCAGGTAGAAAAGAGATTAAAATGCCTACTTGGGGAAAAACTCTGATCCTTTATCTCACTGGGATGATTTTATGTTTACTGTGCAGCTTAGACTACTAGGAAACAAACTAGAGATTTAAGGAGTATTTATGAGACTAGCCCTAAATTTGTTAAACTGGATGAAATTTAAGTTATAATTGTCTAAAGAAATAGTAAGTGGTCTGTCTTGTATTAATGTTTTTTATATTCCACAAAGTTTATTTTGCCAAAATTTATATTTAGCCTGTTGATTGTCAGTCTGCTGTTAATGTTCTTTACTCTTTACCAGCACAAACACACAGTTGTTTTTTCTTCTCTGTTTGAAGAAATTCTGGAAAGAATCAGAAACCAATGACACCTTGGGGGGTATGTTTGTGAGTGTGATGATAGAAATTGGGTATATGGGGGGGACGGCCTTGGCTTGTTGCAGATGTTGGAAGGACTGTTGACCATGTACCTTTTAATGTTACCAAAAAAATAAAATGATATGAATATATTAGTTACATAAAATATTTAAGTAAGGGGGTCGATGATTATTGTTTCAAGTAATATGTGCTCTTGGTAGAGTAAGTTGAAAATATAGGAAACAACAAAGAAAAAAGTACCACCAGTAATCTCAACCACCTAGATAACAACTCTGTTACTGTTTTGTTATAGATTGTCTCAGTCCAAAAGAAAGCGCATGACTATATATACAAATTTGTACCTTTTGACAAAAATAATTTATAATATTTTATAACCTGCTTTTAAAATTTAACAGTATAAAGTAAGTAATTTTCTAGAATCTTAAGTATTTGCTTGCATTCATTTTAATTGTTGCCTGCTGTTTTATTATATTGCAATACTTTATGTAGGCAGTTTAGTATTGTTGGATATATAAATTGTCTTAACTTTACCTGATGTAATTCCTTGTAGGTAAATCAGAACACATTCATAATTATTTTTTTTAAAGCTATTGTCAGATTACCTTCTGGAATGGTTGTACTAATTTGCACTCATGGTGTATGAGAGTCTCCCTAAAACTAAGGCTACAAGAGGCTGCCCAGGTGACTAACCATAAAATTGTTCCTTGCAGTATAATAGGTAAAACTTGAAGAAAGGGCAACTCCTAGGTCCATGGTTGTGGGGAGAAAATCTGGGGCATGGAAACTAATTTTATTTCACACTTAGTATGTAGTTGACATCAGGCTGTAGTAAATATTTTGCACAGTTAAATCTGGGATTTTTGGACATTGGATATTGGCCATGATGGATGGAATTTTTGATGTCCTAGATTGAAACCTTTTCTGCTAATATATTGAATTATGTTATGCCTACTGGCTGGGCTAGCATTTTATTAATAGAGGTCTGTGTAAACTGAACATTTGTTAGATTGAAATATGTTTAAATGTGGAGTCCAACTGAATTTTTAAAAAAACGAGAGACAGCTAACTAAGTAGCCTACACACTTGGAATCCAGAGAAAATATTGCACAGTATTTAATTGCCTTTGAAAATGTTTACTGACCATCTTATTTCAATGTGCAGAGGTACTTTGCTGGCATTCTGGTAGTTCTGTGAATTTTACTTTTGGATCTTGGGAAAGAATGAGAACAGGCTAGGGCAAATAATTGGCAAGAAAAGCAAATTGTTACAAGTCTGTTTACAATGCAGCCTTGTGTACCCACTCTTTGTCTATCTGGATTTCTGAAACTGGATTCCTTCGCTCTGTGAACTAGTTAGCACAAGAGCACTCTTTTCCTTTAGGGTTCTTGGAATTGTAAGCATGCTGGAGAGAACTCTATTATGTATATCTTAGTTGGATGCATGCCTCCTGTCACTGTTAGGACTTGGTGTTGTAAAAGGATTAATGCAGGAGAAGTAAGCTGGGAATGGTTTGGAAGTCTTTGGAATTGGTTCTTAGGTCTTTTATATTATGGACATTGGAGAGTGAAGAGGTTACAGGTATCAAAAGGCTGTTACTCATGAAACCAGAAATATGCTAGTTACAATATTAACATTTTTTTATTTGTTAAATAGAGGGGCAAAGACTGCTTCACTTAATAAATATGGCCTTGATCATGAGACAAATCTAATTTTATTGTGCAGGCTCTTCTGAGTAGTGTCTTTTTTTGTTTGTTTGTTTTAACCCTCACCCAAGGATATTTTTCCATTGATTTTTAGAGAGAATGGAAGGGAGGGAGGAGGGGGAGAGAGAGAAAAAAAAACATCTATATGAGAGAGACACATTGATAGGCTACCTCCCCCATGTGCCCTGACCCAGGCCAAGCTCCAGCCTGCAACTGAGGTACGTGCCCTTGACCAGTAATTGAACCCACAACCCTCCAATCTGCTGTCCAACACTCTAACCAGTGAGCAAAACTGGCTAGGTCTTTCTATACTAATAATAGAGGAATATGCAAATTGTCCAGGATGCCGTCACAGTAACAGTAATGACCAGCAGGCTGCCTGGGGCGACAAGGCCTGTAGGGGGGTTAGTGAGGGACGACCAAACAACTGAACAGCAGGCTGCGTGGGGCAACCAGTTGGCAGGAGGGTTAGTGAAGGACGACCAAATGACTGAACAGCAGGCTACATGGGGCGACCAGGCCGACAGGGGGGTTAGTGAGGGACGACCAAACGACTGAACAGGCTGCGTGGGGTGACCAGGCTGGCAGGGGGGGCAGTTGGGGGCAACCAGGCCGGCAGGGGGGTCAGTAAGGGGCGACCAGGCTGGCGGGGGGGCAGTTAGGGGCAACTAGGCTGGTAGAGGGGGCAGTTGGGGGTGACCAGGCTGGCATGGGGGGCAGTTAGGGGCGATCAGGCAGACAGGTCCCGGATTGTGAGAGGGATGCCCGACTGCCGGCCTAAATCGGCAATCGGACATCCCCCGAGGGGTCCTGGATTGGAGAGGGTGCAGGCTGGGCTGAGGGGAATCCCCCCCCCCCCCCCCCGCACAAATTTCGTGCACCGGGCCTCTAGTTTTGTATAATAGACATGGCATTATTATTGCACCTAATATGGGGTCATGATCTGTTAATAAATCTTATTTTTATTATAAGAATATGGAACATGAAGATAACTTTTCTTCTGTCAAATTTTAATAGTTGTGAGTCTCTCTTTTTTTTGATAACTAAGGGCAAAATTTAGACTATCTTTGTTATTGAGAGTAAAGGTAATGTTTTAAGAAGTCATATATTTGGTTTTAGGTCTTTTTTTGCTCATTTCTATTCATAAGCTTACTATGGATTTTGTGTAGATAACCCTTCTGCTCATTTTCACTCTTTTTTCTCTTGTGAAATAGTTCCTTGTGATTACCAGTAAAAGCATGATGAAAATTAACTTTTAGTAATTAAAATGCTAAGTTCTGTCATCTGCTTAACAACTGAATTTTTGTTTTGTTTTCAGCATTGGTTGGATGTTACAAAGAGTATCAAAAAGCAAGTTAAAAGTAAGTGTTGAAAAAATTGTGAAAAAATAGAAATTGAATTATATATAATTATATATTAGTAAGTTATTTCTAATAGTAAGGACTTAACAATCGTTTCAGATGAATTTCTTAGCATTTCTACTTTCTAAAAATAATTTCAACCTGGAATACTGATTCTAAATTATATAGGATTGATGGTAATTAGATGGAAGTGCCTTACAGTTTGTTTCCAGGAGAAAGCCTTGCAGCTTGCAAATGAGATTAAGTTCCCATGAGATGCTTAACCTTTATTTAGTAATTTCTTATGTTGGAATTTTCTTGTTTGGCATTTGTCCAGCTTTTTCTGAAAAAATATTTTGAGGCTTTAAGGCTGTGACTTTAAAAAAAAAAAAAAAATATATATATATATATATATATATATATATATATATATATATTTATGATGATTTCAGAGAGGAAGGGACGGGACAGGGAGAAATAGAAACATCAATGATGAGAGAGAGTCATTGATCGGTGCCTCCTGCATGCTCCCTACTGGGGATCAAGCCTGCAATCTGGGTGTGTGCCCTGACTGGGAATTGAACCGTGATCTCCTGGTTCATAGGTCAGTGCTCAACCACTGAGCCACACCAGTTAGGCAAAGCTGTAACTTTTAAAAAAATTAAGAACAGTGAAAAGTGTTTCACATAAAATGCCAGTGTTATTCCTATCAGTAGTCAGGAAAATACCTTAGTATTCAATCCTTAGTATACCTTGTCCTGTATAGTAACAGATTTCAGGGCATTGCAACTCTTGTCTTTACTAAATAATGGAACCACTGAAAATATAGATGTTAATGAAGTAGGTGAAGTGAATTGGAAAGTGTATGGGAGGATTTGCCATGAACAATTAATAACGTAAGTATTCCTCTGTGCTTTTAAGAAATACAGCTCTGCAGATTGTCAGGGCTGTCAGATTGCACAGTCAGAACTTTTGTTGTTGTTAATCCTCACCCGAGGATATTTTTTCTATTGATTTTTAGAGAGAGTGGAGGAGGGGGGAGAGAAAGAGTGAGAGAAAAGAGAAAAAGGAGGAGAGGGAGGGGGGAGGGAGAGAGGAAGGAAGGGATATAGAAAGAAAGAGAGAGAGAGAGGAGGGAAACATCAATGTGAGAGACACATTGATTGGTTGCCTCCCGCACTTGCCCCAATCAGGCCCCAGGATCCAACCTGCAACCCAAATACATGCCCTTGACTGGGAATTAAACCTGAGGAATACTGGTCAGGGCTCAGTCAGAACTTTTTTACTTGATACTAGAGGCCTGGTGCACGAATTCGTGCATGGGTGGGGTCTCCTGGCCTGGCCAGCGATCAGGCTGATCAGGATCCCTCCCCACGGGAGGTTGGCTGGCTGACCCCATCAGGGCTAATAGGGGCCGGCCGGGGGCGGAGGAGGGGAGGCGTGGGAGGTTGGCTGGCTAACAGGAAGGACCACAGGAAGTTGGCCATGGGAGGTTGGCTGTGGGAGCACACTGACTACTACAGGGCAGCTCCTGTGTTGAGCGTCTGCTCCCTGGTGGTCAGTGTGCGTCATAGCGACTGGTTGACCCATCATTTGGTCAATCGGTTGTAACGGTCGCTTAGGTTATTATATGTATATAGATATTGGCCCTGAACTGTTAGAATTAAATTAGAACTATCTATTCTTAGGAAGACAGATTATTATAATAGAACTGTATGATGGTTGGTATAGTTCAAAAAAAGATAGCTCTTTTTGTATTAGGTTTAATCAAACCTACACTGTAAACTGAAATATAATAATAACCTGTTATCTTTTGTCCCCAGTTCAGTGGATTTTTGACAGATTTACTGACTGTAAATTCTTATTATTTAAATAGTTATAAAAATTAAAGCGTTTTCTTTTCTTTTTAATGGCAGTTGGTTCACCCTATTGTCTGCATTTTCGAGTTAAGTTTTATTCCTCGGAACCAAATAATCTTCGTGAAGAGCTAACCCGGTAAGACATAGTTGAACACGGGTAAAGTTTAGTCAGGCTAGCTAAAATGTTGGAAGATTGTCCATAATTCTTTCCAGTTTATAGACAGCTAATGAAATGTATTCCTTGCCTTTGTAACAGACCTCAGACAATAGACTGTCATTTGGGATAGTGCTTTTTAAGTGTAGGATTATTTTCCTTTTTTTTTTTTTATCAGTTTTCAAAATAAAGAGTTAGTTCCCTAGCATCCTCCAAAGGTAACTAGTGAGTTCTTTTTTTAAGTGTCATTATCAACTCATGAATTTTGTACGGGACTGATGTGTTTAAATACATTGCCATGTTTATTGATGTTCAAAATGATCTATCTTTGGCCAATGAGAGTTTATTCAAGTAGGCTCCTGATTTGCTTTACCGATTGAAATGCCATTGATTAATAAAAAATGTTAGATTTTGATTTGTTTTGAATAATTTTGAATAAACTTTAAGTAGGTTATATATACCTATTTTTACTTTTTCCTGCCCTCCTGGTATTTCTTAATAGATGATATTGCAAATCCATGACTCATTCTACTTACTATTTATTAAGTAAAATCTTGAATTCCTTCAGGAGGGCTTTGCTTTTGACTACTCTGCCAATGAGATTATAGATATTATTCACAGTTATATGCATGCTAGTATCCTTTCACATATGGGATGGCTGCATTGTCAAAGTACAGTTAAATCAGTTCACAGAGCTCATTCTTAGTATTTTGCCATAAATCTTTTCTTTCTACTATATGTATTCTGTGCCTGCTATGTTTTAAAATTGATTTCAGAGAGGAAGGGAGACACGAGAGAGAAATAGAAACATCAATGATGAGAGAGAATCATAGATTGGCTGCCTCCTGCACATTCTCCTTTCTCCCTGCAACTGGGGATCGAGCCCACAACCCAAGCATGTGCTCTGACTGGGAATTGAACTGTGACCTTCTGGTTCACAGGTTGGCACTCAACCACTGAGCCTCACCGGCTAGGCTGTTTTTTGCTGTCATCTTACAGACATGCTACCATCCTCCTGATGCTTATTGTCCCTTTTTTCTTTTATAGACTTTATTTTGGGCAAAGTTGTATAATTAAGAATGTTTCTTTCCAAATTAGAAGGGTAAAATTGTTCTCTTCAGTTAAATTTGTGCCTTTTGTTTTTCTTAGGTATTTATTTGTTCTTCAATTAAGACAAGATATTCTCAGTGGAAAGTGAGTATTAGTTGCTTAAGGTAAATCATATTTTATTTGAGTAGTTTAAAAATGTTTTTAAAGAATAATTTTATAGCTAATTATGAAAAAGAAATGGCCAACATAAAGTATATATTTCTATTTGTCTTTAACTGAAGGTTGTGAAATTGTTTAACCAATTGTGTTTGGTCTCAGATTGGAGTGTCCTTTTGATACAGCAGTTCAGTTGGCAGCTTATAATGTGCAAGGTAAGCAGTTCTCATGTTGATTATTGGGAGTAAAGCATAACTATTTTCAGTGTATGGTTAGGTAAAGAATTTCAGCCCTAACCGGTTTGGCTCAGTGGATAGAGCATCAGCCTGCAGACTCAAGGGTCCCAGGTTCGATTCCGGTCAAGGGCATGTACCTTGGTTGCGGGCACATCCCCAGTGGGGAGTGTGCAGGAGGCAGCTGATCGATGTTTCTCTCAACTCTCTATCTCTCTCCCTTCCTCTCTGTAAAAAATCAATAAAATAAAAATAAAAATAAAAAAGAATTTCAGAAGATTCAAAGTGATATGGGAGAAGCAGCACTGATTTTGCGTAAATTTGTATCAATATCCAACTCTGACTTTACTTACACTAGTTTTAGAACATTGCCTTCTTTCTCGTGCCTTTCATTTTGTTTGTGCTTTTTCTGTCTATAAGTTTTCAAATTATTATTACAGTCTACTTGATAATTCTATAAATGTTATAGTTGGCCATCAGCTATTTTTTTCCTTAAAAAGAATACAGTTATATATTAGAAAGTTGCCACAGCTACATGGTTTGCTTTTAGTAGTATTCTTAAAAACAAATACATGAAAGAAATAATTAGCATGTATTTAAAAGTTCCTGATGGTTATTTTAAGGATAAAAAAGTATTTTTTCAGTAAATGAGAGTAATGAAAAACTCAAATCTTGTACCTTGTTACATTAATCATATAGTGTTAAATTTAGGAATTTTCTTCTAAAAAATTGAAATTCTTATAAAACATTAATTTCAGTCCTTGTTCATAAAATGGAAAGAAATATTCTGATTATAATTTTATGCTTTGGGGGAGGGGGCTGATTCTATATTTATCTCCAATCCCTCCAAGATCAGTAGCACTTATTTGCCATTGAAAAGATAATAATACTAAAATGTTAATGTTTTCATGATAAACCTAATATTTTGCTCATTTTGTGCTTCCAATATTTAAGAAAGCATATTTTCCTATTGATAGAAGGATTGTGAATGGACAAAATTTCTGTACTTCAAAATTTTGCCACTAGGATAATTGTTACCTATCCATCTCCATCTACTATCATAGTCTGTCTACAAATTAAAACTTTTCTCGTCTGCAGAATATCAACGATACTAGTTTGGAAATGCTATGCTTCTAGCATTGTAACAATCAGAAGTATATAACTGCATGTATCTTTCTTGAAAGCACGTATTTTACATTTTATTGATTCTTATATGAAGTTGTTAATTCTAAAATTTTTTGACCTATTGAAGAGCTGTCATTTTCAATATCTGTTATACCATACTATAGGCCCAGTGCATGAAAATTCATGCACTTGCGGGGGGGGGGGGGCAGTCCCTCAGCCCGGCCTGTGCCCTCTTGCAGTCTGGGACCTCTTGGGGGATGTCTGCCTGCTCCCCTGGGGATTGGGCCTAAGCTGGCAGTCAGACATCCCTCTGGCAGCCCGGGAGCCCTCAGTAGGACATCCTTAGCACTGCCAAGGAGGTAGGAGAGGCTCCTGCCACTGACGCTGCACTCGCAGCAGTCAGCCCTGCTTATGGCTGAGCGGAGCTCCCCCTGTGGGAGCACACTGACCACCAGGTGGCAGCTCCTGCGTTGAGCGTCTGCCCCTTGGTGGTCAGTGCGTGTCATAGCGACCGTTTGTTCCCAGTGGTCCGCTAGGGTCAATTTGCATATTACCCTTTTATTATATAGGATATTGCATCAGCTGGTCTGTCTTTGTCATATTGTGTAATTTTAATGACAAGCAAAGTATATGCTTCTTGAAAATATGGTTTTTATACATTTTTGTGTATTTAATAAAACACTATTCAGAGTAGTGTTTACTAATTACTTAATGTTTGATTGGTACATGTGACTGATACATTATTTCTTAATTCTTCTTATATTTCTTTCCTAAATAAAATTTTTTCTTGATCTTTTCATCCATGGCACCATTAGTTTGGATTTTTTCAAATTTTATGTTTTGTCCTATGCATCTCTCTTTGTCCCCTGCCTAATAGTTTATCAAATCCTATTAATTCTTAAGGTTCTTAAAAATAAATTTGCTGAAGTATTACTTCCATCTTCATAAAAGGAGCTTGTTTCATTGATGATTTTATATTTTATTAGGGTAGTTGTTATTAGCTTTTTCTCATACTCTCAAGTTCACTTTTCTGAACCATTTTAGTAAACATTCTGAACAACATTATATAGCAGATTTGGTTTAGAGCTCCTTAAAGTCACTGTAGTCCAGACAAAAGAGCAATTTCTTCAGCAATAAAGGAGTGTGATAAAATCTTCAAGGAAGTTAAGTGATAGTATATTTATAATATGTGTTTAGAGTGGGTGCTCAATAAATAATGTTATCATTTGTATGATTATCTCAATGTAGTTATCATGTATTTTTTCTCTCCACCGCTAGATTTTTTAAAATAAAAATGGAAATATTTTCATTTTTAATGAGTAAAATATTACTTTAAAGGAAAACATTTTTAAGTATAGAAAACTAGAATGTTTTCCCTTTTCCCCCAAACCCACAGTTCAGAGCTCAGCACAGATGAGTACATAAATGTTTGTGCAGTGTTCAGTTCTTTTCCTACTGCCTCCCTTCCCCAAATACTTTTTAGCAATTTTTCTTTGTTATGTCTTTAGGATTAATAATTTATGTCACATTCTTTGCATATTAGGTTCTTAACAGATGCCAGCTAAGTGTTAAGGATTGCTAAATATTCTTATTTATTCATTAAAAGGTCAAATGTATTTCTCTGTGGAAGTCTAGAAAGAGGTTCTCAAAGGTTAAGCATTATAATAAGGTTTGAATAAATTGAAGACATTTAATCAGAAATACACCACCAAACACAAATACGTGATTTGTGTGTATAGACAGATAAATCACAAGTGTAAGCTACATTTACTTTTGGGAGTGGTTTGGGTGTTATGAATTCCTGGTTGTTTAAGAAAGAATCTTTCTAATCCTAGCAGTATTTTTAAATAAAATTGGTTTTAAAGAAAGATTCATCAGGAAATAAACTTGTTAACAAAATATAACTTTGTAAAACTTATGTTTGTAGCTGAACTTGGTGACTGTGATCTTGCTGAGCATAGTCCTGAACTTATAACTGAGTTCAGGTTCATGCCCATTCAGACTGAAGAGATGGAGTTGGCTATTTTTGAGAAATGGAAGGAATACAGGTACTTGATATTTGACCACACTTTCCTTAACATCACCATGATAGTGATCTTATATTTTCTTCTATTTCTGTACTTGGTATAGACTTCATTTTACATTTTTATTATTTAAAAAATATTTTTTATTTCAGAGGTCAGACACCAGCACAAGCTGAAACCAATTATCTGAATAAAGCCAAATGGCTAGAAATGTATGGGGTTGATATGCATGTGGTCAAGGTAAGCACTATATTGTGATACGTTTATTAAAAAATTTATTCCTTCAAGATACAAGGTGACTATGAAATTTTTTCATGTGAGAGAGGCTATGGAGTTTGTATGGGCTAATACTAGGTACTTGAGGTAGGTGGTTATAAAGGCTGAGATTAAATACTGAATGTTAAGAATCTCACATAAAGGTTAATATAAGAAAGAAGAGAAACAACCAAAATTTCCAAAAAGTATGTCTGTTCTTTTAAGCTGTTACTTATTAAAGATTTTAAACCACTTTTTAGTCTTTCACTTCACATTCATATAGTCTCATATCATGTAAGCTAAGAAGGCTCTATAAAAATTAAAGTAATTTAGGAAGCAAAGTTGAAATTCTGTAACTTGAGAGGACTTTGTTAAACTGTAGGATAGCTGGTATAGTGATTTAAGTTATTTTTAGTTTGAGTAGCTAAATTTTCCCAGAAAGGCAGTTTTATTTTTCAAAATTTGTGATTTAAGTGGTGAATAGAATGTGAGAAGAATCTGGAAAGAGCTTTTGTTGTAGTGGGAGTGTAACTATTTTCAGTGAAGACATACCTTAAACTGTATTGTTTCAATGAACTAAATGTACACGTTAATTCTGAGAATTTTGTTTTGGAAACTCTAACTGTTGAAAATACCTTGCATATTAATATTACCTGTGAATAATTAGTATAATTCAATGTGAAAATAAAATTAAGCAATTGTATGAAAATGTGAAGCCTATTTTATGCAAATAAGTTAACACATTTCCCGTTCCTTAAATTAGGCTCGAGACGGGAATGACTATAGTTTGGGGCTAACCCCAACAGGAGTTCTTGTTTTTGAAGGAGAGACCAAAATTGGCTTATTTTTTTGGTAAGTAGAGTCAGTGTCAAAGATATTTATTGTTGTTTTGTATTTTAATATGAAGTTAATACACAAAATAGAATTTGGAAATCAAATAGTTCTGAAAAGGTTATAAATTAATTGAAACTGTCTTCTGTCATAATCCTACCTCTTTAGTTTCACAACCCAGGGGCAATTTTTAAAACTCTTCTAGCTGCATTTTCCATTAGTTCCAAGGTATGTCAAAGTACATGTTCTAATGCAGTGGTTCTCAACCTTCCTAATGCCGCGACCCTTTAATACAGTTCCTCATGTTGTGGTGACCCCCAACCATAAAATTATTTTCGTTGCTACTTCATAACTGTAATTTTGCTACTGTTATGAATCTTAATGTAAATATCTGATATTCAGGATGTATTTTCATTGTTACAAATTGAACATAATTAAAACCCTTTGCACTCCGAACCATTCTGGACATTGGCTACCAGCTACTCAACGCTACTTTGCGGCGGAAACGTGCATTTACAGACCCTCGTATTATTTAGTATAATTTTGGAACCAAGTAACGTATTATAATGATATTGGACTTATATGAATTGGGTGACATCGAGGAATGTATATTTGCAAAAAAACCAATATTTTATTGTTTATAATTTTGTACAGTATGATAAGTTTTGTAACACTCCCCAATATGCATTGCAGGCTGATTAGTGCATGTTTGACAGTAATAAGTGGTTTGACGCCTGCCACCAGGTGTTTTCCTGTTAGAACACACAATGCAGTCCCGTTTTCTTTGTCCCACATTGGGAATATGTAGTTTATTGTTTAATCCGACACAAAACCCGCTGACATTTCTTGTATATATCTTAGTAATTTTACGATATTTTGATTTAATTTCTTGTGCCATTTCAAGAGAAAACTTCAGGGAAACATGCATGTCTCAAAAAGTTGCGTTGAAATAACTCAATTCCCCGTAATCACTAATAAACTGCAATGTCCCCTGAGAGGGGACATCCGAGTGATATGCTAGAATTCCGATGTCCCCTGAGAGGGGACAGCGGAGTGCAAAGGGTTAAAGCATAGTGATTAATCACAAAAACAATATGTCATTATATATGTGTTTTCTGATGGTCTTAGGCGACCCCTGTGAAAGGGTCGTTTGACCCCCAGGTTGAGAACCACTGTTCTAATGTAAGTATTATGTATTTCTAGGTATGTTAAATGTTCACATGTAGTTATGTTCTACTAGGGCCGGCCTGCAGGTGATTTTGAGAGTACATTTATTAAAGCTGGGGGGAGTGGAACAAGGAAGGGCTTAGGATAGAAGAAGCAACAAGAGAGCTGAGGTGGGGCTGCTCTGGCTCACTGGTAAGTCAGAGAAAAGGAGTCTTCGGAGACAGGTGCAGGGGGTTAGCCTGGGAAGAGCTGCTGCTGCCCATTTCCCCTGGCTGCAAGTCTCTGGGGAATCTTATTGTTTAACAGTGGTTCTCAACCTTGGCTGCACATTAGAATCACCTGAGGCCCAGAAATTAGGATTTTAAAAAGATTCCCAGGTGATTCTAATGTGTAGCCAAGGTTGAGAACCACTGGTTTAGAAGATACATGCCTGTGGGGGAAGCAGAGGGGGAAGGGAAAGCTTGGGTATGCTCTGGGATGGGGAGCACAAGTTGGGTCCTTTGTTTTGAGGATTTTCAAAGGCTGGGAGTTTAGGGGAGGTCTTAGGGGAGACTTTCACAGATTATACATCACCTTTTCCAGGTGTGCCCTTCAGGGTCGTGGTCTCCGCTGGTTGGACACCACCAGGGCAGGGGGCCATTAGTCATTGCAGCTGGTCCTGGCATAGCCCATCTCGGTTTGCTGCTTTCCTGGGCCTGGAGCTGAAATACAACTGAGGCCTAGCTGTTGTCTGTAGGGAGTTGACCTGTATCTGTCTGTAAATTGCTCAGCCAGTTTGTTCAGCTGTCTGCTCAGTTTCCCTATTCTACTTGCCAAAGAATTTTCCTAGCTTCTTACTGTCCTGCCTCAGTGTCACTATTTTTGCTATTTCTTATTCCATAGGCCAGTGGTCGGCAAACTGCGGCCCCTTGTGTGTGGCTCTTCCACAAAATACCACATGCGGGTCTGCACGTACAGTGTGATTGAAACTTCGTGGCCACACTCAAGGGGCCAAAGAGCCGCATGTGGCTCGCGAGCCGCAGTTTGCCGACCACTGCCATAGGCAGTCTTTTTACTCACTACTCCTTATTGTGTGAGAGGAAGATATTAATACTTTTATGTCTCCTTTTAAGCTATGCTCTTTCTGTGTCCCAACTTCTATTATCCAAACTTAAATTATATTTGTGTATAAGTTGGATTTCATAATCATAATTAAGTTCTCCAGGTTTTGTCTAAAGCTGAAAATCAAAAAATAGTGTTTACATTATTGGGTCTGTGTCAGAAGTGTCACAGCTTTGAGCAGTGTACTGGTGGTGTAAACGTGGGCTAACATGGCCCTGTGTATTGGCTCTTATGTTGTTTACTTCTTCATAGCATGTGAGGACCGTTAGCTCAAAGCCCTCAGCACCAAACTCAACTTCTTACACGTCCATTTGCTTTATGTATATCCTAATAATATATTTTTTCATTGGTTTTTAGAGAGAGTGGAAGGGAGGTGAGAGAGATGCACGTGCGCGCGCGCACACACACACACACACACACACACACACACACATTGATTGGTTGCCTCCTGCACGCAACCTGACCAGGGCTTGGAATGGAACCTGCAACCCAGTACATGCCCTTGACCGGAATTGAACCTGCTGCAGACCCTTCGGTGCATGGGTCGATGTTCTAACCACTGAGCACACTGGTCAGGGTTAAGTATATTTTCAGCCATTTAGAGTCTGTCGTCTTTGCATATCCCACTAAAAACTACTAGCTATAGATAAGGTAAATCTTGTAGCTATAAAAGACTCCAAACCACTACTGCCTTTCAGAGCTCTCTGACCCAGACACGCCCCCCCTTGCTGCTGAATGCCATTGACTAGGTACATAAGCCCCCTCTCCGATTCCCCTCTTTTCTGGCAGTCTCCATACCTTCTTCCCCTTCTTGGTGGGGGCTCTGTGCCATTTGTCTCTGCATGTTCTGCTGTGAAGGACTTCCCCTCGTGCAGCCTGTCCTAACACCTCAGTAGAGATCTGTGCAGTACTGCTATCTCTGTCCTTTTCCTGATCAAACCTGAAATCCTTGAACTCATAACTGGGATTACATTTCCCTTCCATGTACTTTGTTGTTTTTCCTAGAGCTCTTGGCTCCCCCTCCTCCAATGTCATGTACAGCACCACACACATCTCTTTAAATTACCCATCTTTGTGGTCTCCTTAAGTTCTTTCAAATTCTCAAGGGCTATATGAAATGATTATATTTCAATGGGAACTGTTTGCTCTCCAAACTGCTGTACAATTTTTATCTTGGGACTTCCATTTCTGTTTCTCGGCTAGGATTCTGTGTCCTCTTCCCATATTTTCCTTTCTTTGCTTTTGTTTTTTCTGAATATATATATATATTCCCCCCCCCCCCCCCCAAGTAACTGCCTGATAAAAGGATATGGAAAGTAAATTATTTGAATCCTTGGATGCCTTAAAATGTTATATTCTTCTCTTATGCTTTCTTGATAATTGAACTGAGAATAGAATTTTAGGTTGAAAATTATTTCCCCTTAAAAAGTTGAAGATAGTATTCCGTTTGTTTTTGCATCCAGGTGTCTCTGTTAGGGACTCTGAGAGACTTGAATGGAACACTTTTATAATTGCCCCTCACTGGGTGAGGGAGCTGGGGCATTTCTTTACTCAGTCCTTGAGTGTTAATTCTCTTACACTTCCAACTGGACCTGTGGGGTGATAATAGGATTCATAGCCAGAAAATGCTCTAGGCTGAGAGATAAAGACAGCATCTTTTGTACCACCTCACAGATAGTTGTGAGAATGAATTGAATTAATACCTGTAAAACATTTAGAAGAGTACCTGATACTTGGCAGGTGTTATATGTAAACATTGGTTCCACTTAAATAAGTGCTAGATCCTCCCCCTCCTTCACCTATTACACTTACTTACTGTTTTAGTACAGTTCTTGCAAACAAGCTGTGTTTTACAATTATATTTTACATAAGTAATATTTAAAAATTAGTGAGTATCCCAAGAAACCAGAAACACCAATCAGAAAGGATATATGCACCCCTATGTTCATAGCAGCACAATTCACCATAGCTAAGATTTGGAAACAGACTAAGTGCCCATCAGCAGATGAGTGGATTAGAAAACTGTGGTACATCTACACAATGGAATTCTATGCTGCGGTAAAAAAGAAGGAACTCTTGCCTTTTGCAACAGCATGGATGGAACTGGAGAGCATTATGCTAAGTGAAATAAGCCAGTCAGAGAAAGATAAATACCACATGATCTCACTCATTTGTGGATTATAGAGAACAACATAGACTGATGAACAGGGACAGATCCAAAGACAGAGAAACAGCAATCAGACTATCACTCCCCAGAGGGAAAGTAGGGGAGGGAGGGGGTAAGGGGAAGAGATCAACCAAAGGACTTGTATGCATGCATATAAGCCAAACCAATGGACATGGACAACAGGGGGATGAGAACATGAGTGTGTGTGTGTGTGTGGGGGGGTTAATGGGGGGGATAAGGACACATTTGTAATACCTTAACCAATAAAGAATTTTAAAAAATAATAATAAAAAAATAAAAATTAGTGAGAGTTGCATTGTTTTGACATTACAGTTCATAGAAGTACAGAGTTCAAATGTGGTAGGCTGTTTAGGATTTTAGTTCAAATGGGAGATAGAGTTGGAAAATGGGTCATAAAATGAGGTTTAAAAAATTATTTTTAAAAATGTATTTCCTCAAACCAAAATTGCTATAGAAAATAATCAATAATATGTTTTCCTTTATGCCTTTTAAAAAGCTTTGTAGTCTTTATCCAGTTCCTGGAGAATTTCTTACACCATAGTTGGGGCCTATGAAATATTTATATGGATTTTTTCATTTTTTTTCCTGAACATTTTTTTAATCTTCACCCGAAGATGTTTTATTTTAAAGAGAGAGGAAGGGAGAGAGAGAGAGAAACATCGATCAGTTCCCTCCTCTATGGCCCCCAATTGGGGATCAGACCCACAACCTTGGGTATGTGCCCTGATTGGGAATTGAACCTGAAACCTTTTGGTGGATGGGACAGTGTTCCAACCAATGAGCCATCCAGCCAGCACTCTTTAGCATTTTTAATGCCTGATAAATGTGCAGCATCCATTTTGCTAGAAGTGTTGCTTTTGAAATTTTTTTTCTATTGTCTTAGCTATATTTTAGATTGGAGGCCTTTTTGATGTCCAGTGCAGGTAATGTTTATTTTATTTTACCCTTACCAAAAGTTAGATGATTAATGTGCTTGAAGTAACAACAACATTTTAAAAAAAATTTAGAGGACATTTTTTAAAATCTGGCTACTATTCTCATATTGTTACAGGCCCAAGATAACTAGATTGGATTTTAAGAAGACTAAATTAACCCTGGTGGTGGTAGAAGATGATGATCAGGTGGGAATTGTATTGCATTACTTATGTAACAATGACTATTTATGTAGTAACTTAAATCTCTAAAAGGGGAAATGTTTCTTGTTGTTTTATAGACCCAAAGAACTCAGTATAATTAATAATTTAGTTAAATAATTTCTCGCTTAAGGTCACACCATTCTAAAAATATGGTTGTTCTGCGTTTAAGATTAAAGACAATATAAAAAACTATTCTTGTTTCTTCATTGATACTATGTGTATACAAATTACTATGTGTGAAAGGAAGGGAGAGGAAGAGAAAGAGCGAAAGATCAATGATGAAAGAGAATCATTGATCGACTGCCTCCAGCATGCCCCACACTGTGGATCGAGCCTGCAATCCAGGCACGAACCCCAACCGGAAATGGAACCATGACCTCCTGGTTCATAGGTCTATGCTCAGCCACTGAGCCACGCCAGGCTACCTAATAATATTTTAAAGTAAAACCTTCTAAACTAACAATTACCTTCCTTCTCCCCCTCCACCCCCCGCTGCCAGTTAAATCTAGTTCCTAATTGATATACACAACAACATGGGTGCAACTCAAACTCAAATGCATTATGCAGATTCACAAGATCATGACTATATGAGTTTATTTTATATGGCAATCTGGGAAAGGAAATCTATAGGAATGGAGCACAGATCACTGATTATTTGGGACTAGGTGGAGTAAGAAGGCTTAACAACAAAGGAACAGCACAGGGAATTTTGGAGACTGAGAGAACTATTCTCTATCCGGATTTTGGTGGTAGTTGCTATACTTGATGCCAGAGATTTTCAACCTTTTCATTTCATGACACACAAACTACTAAAATTCTGTGGCACACCAAAAAAATGTATTTTTTGCTTATCTGACAAAAAATAGTTATAATTTTGATTCATTTGCACTGGACAACTATTGTATTGGCTGTTGTCATTTTTTTAATTTGATAATCGAAGGGAAAAGTGCCCCTGACTAAATAGATCTGGTATTGCATGTTTTAAAAATTCTTGTGGCACACCAGTTGAAAATTGCTGCTCTATGCATTTGTCAAAGCTTACAGGATTGTGAATAAATATAATTTTAATATATACAAAGAAATAAATTTTAAAAAACATACATATAGATAGATATAGATAAAAACAAATTGGGCAAAATGTTAAAGAGATTTGCATACACAATGAAGTGTGAGAAGGGCTACTTAGAATAACCTAAAATAAGAAGATTCTGAAAATTAGATGTAACAGTGCTAAGTTTTGAATGTTTTATTACTGAGGTACATACAAAGGATTGTCCTATCACACAGCCTGGAAGAAAATCATAGAGACAGTAATTGTATTGATTTTTTTTTTTTTTTTTACAGAGAGGAAGGGAGAGGGATAGAGAGTGAGAAACATCGATCAGCTGCCTCCTGCACACCCCCTACTGGGAATGTGCTCGCAACTAAGGTACATGCCCTTGACCAGAATCGAACCTGGGACCCTTGAGTCCGAAGGCTGACGTTCTATCCACTGAGCCAAACCGGTTAGGGCAGAGACAGTAATTGATTATTTAAAAAAGAAATCTCTTGATGACACAGAGGATGATCATTATATTATCAACATATGAACTGAAAATGATTCAGAAAAGGCAGATATTGCATTTAAAAGTAATGTTTTGCCAGTATTGTCCTTTTTATGAAAGCTCATGTATGATCAAATGATAATTTAATCTAAAGGTAGTCCCTTCAAGAAGAAGAAAATATAATCCTATTTGATAAGAATATAGTCATAATTTAATTGATGACACTTGTTATTGGGCTATAAAATAATTCTGCATCTTACAATTGATGGGTTTTTAGATTTGATCTAATACATAATACAGTATTGGCTTTTTAGATATCTTTTTAAAAGTATGTTATACATATATTCAAGTAAATGTGTATATCAGTTCTTTTTCAAACAAGTTTGCATGCTTATATACTATTGTTACCCTTTTTCAACTATATATTATAACTGGGAATCTTTTCCATATCCTATATAATAAAAGCCTAATATGCTGTGTCTGGTCATCTGTTCAACCAATCAAAGTGTAATATGCTAATGATATGCTAAGGCCACTCAACCACTCACTATGATGTGCACTGACCAACAGGGGGGCAGACAGTTGACTGGTCGACCAGTCGCTGTGACGTGCACTTCCAAGGGGAAGATGCTCCGACTAGTAGGAGAGCTTGCTGCTGGGGTCTGGCCAATGGGGACTGAGCAAGATGGGTCGGACACGCCCTGGAGCCCTCCTACAGTCCTTCCCCGGCTGGTCAACCTCCTGCATCCCTCCCCGGCCCCAATCATGCACCAGTGGGGTCCCTCAGCCTGGTCTGTGCCCTTTGGCAATCCAGGACCCCTTGGGGGATGTCAGAGAGCTGGTTTCGGCCCGATCCCACAGGCCAGGCCTCTAGTCAGTACATAAAGTGCTTCTTCGTTCTTATTAAAAACACAAAACTGTAGTATTCTAGGATGTGCCCTAATTTATTTAATCAATTCTTAATTGACATTTATTCACTATATAGACATTAATTTCTACATTGGCAAGTATCTATAGCATAATTTTCTGGAGGTGGGCTTGCTGGTTCAAATCAGTATGTGCATTTGTCATGGATATAGAGAGAGCCTATCATGTAGCACTATTTATCTGTGTACACACCTTTTCCAGGAGTTATAACATTTTTATCTGAAAGGTGAAAAATGGAATTTCATGCTAGGTTTATTTTTTATTTCTGTTATGAGTGATACTGAACATTTTTAAATAAATTTGAATTATTTGTGTTTCCTTTTCTCCAAACTGTCTATTTATATCCTTTGCCCATTTTTCTTTTGGGTTGTTGGACTTTTTTCTTGCAGGTTTTGCACTTTGTCATATAAATTGTAAATATCTCACCTAATTGTTGTTTTTTAGCATTGCTTATTGGGATCTTTGTCATTTATTTTTAAAAATTTAAATAGGTGAATTTGTCAGTCATTTATGGCATATGGGTTCTGTGTCATAGAAATGTTTTCCTACTTTGAGTTTATTCATTTTTCCATGTTTTTTTCTATGTGTAGTTTTTGTTGGTAAATTTCATTGACATATAACATACATTCAGATAAGTGCTAATATAAATGTACTGTTTGTTGAATTTTCAAATGTATCTATATGACCAGCACCCAGACGTGGAAATAAACTAGTACCAGAATAATAGAATCTTCTTTGTGCTCCCCAATAGATACAGCCCCCCAAGGTAACGACTCTCCTGACTCTAACACCATTTTAGCCATTCTGATAGTAGAATTATTTTTAATTTGCATTCTCCTGATGACTGTTCCTAAGTACAGTACTTATAATGTATATACACATTTCAAATAATTATAAAGGCAGTGTTTATTAAAATACCTTTCATTTTCATACTTGAGCTATCAGCTATTACAGTGTATACATTATTTTGGGACAGCTTGTATTTATTGGATATTTGGATATTCTTTCTTATGGAGTGCCTTTTCAAGTGTTTTGTTCATTCTCCTATTGGATTATCAAAGTTCTTTATATATTCTAGATATTAGTTCTTTGTCATATTAGTTCTTTGTGTTGCAGATACTTCTGCTTCTTGGCTTGCCTTTTGTCTCCCCTAATAGTATCTTTTGGGTTAATAGAGGATTTCAATTTTAATGTAATACAATTTTTTTTGTGGTCAGTACTTTTTGTGTCTTAAAATTTAAGAATTTTTGCCTATACCATGAAGAACCTACACATAGAGTTTATAAAATGTTTTTAAATGACAAAATAGTTCAAGTTACAAAATTAAATACACTGAAAAGTACAAAGAAATTATAAATTGATATCTATTTCACTCATTTAGATTGAACATTTTTGGCATTGTTTCTTCAGAATTATCTTTTAGAAATAGGTAATGGTATGTTTGATATAACTAAGGTCTAACTCCCCAGCTTGCTCCTTCCTTCCCCATAGCTGGTCACCATTCTTAAAGGGTATCATTCTGTTCTTTCTCCAAATATGAAGACATGGTAGAATTGTTTTAAAATTTTACATAGATCATATATATATATATATATATATATATATATATATATATATTTGTTTTGTTTCATTAACTTTTTTGCATGTTGCTTATTTTACCTAAACAGGTGTAGCCATGTAGATCTAGTTCATTCATTTTAATCTATATGTAGTATTTTGTAATATGAATAAACAGTAGTGCATTCATTATTTTATCTTTGTATAGTGTTTTTTCTTTTTTTTTTTAATCCTCACCTGAGGATATTTTTTCCATTGATTTTTAGAGAGAGTGGGAGAAAGAGGGAAAGACAGAGAGAAATATCGATGTGAGAGAAACACATCGATTGGTTTGCCTCCTGCATGAGCCCTGATGAGGGTCCAGGCCAGGGAGAAGCCAGCAACCGAGGTAGGTGCCCTTGAACGGAATTGAACCCGAGACCCTTTGGTTCATAGGCTGATGCTTTATCCACTGAGCCAATTCGGCTAGGGTTGTATAGTTTTTAAATATACCAGTATTTACTTGATTATTTCTTTTATTTTGGAGTTGGGTTTTTTGGTACGTGTGCCAGTTTTTACTATTATAAATGAGACTGAAGAAAATCTTTGGGTGCAAATTTTTTGTTTAGATAATCTGGAGAAACATAGTTTAGATATTACAAATATAGGCTCTGGAGCCTGAACGGAGAGGTTGAAATTCTGGTTTTCTCTCTTAACTAGCTTTGTGACCTTGGGCTTAATTTTTTGAGTCTTAGTTTCTTTATCTGTGAAATGGGCCAAATGATAGTATCTGCTCATTGAGGTAATTCATATGAAATTCTTAGGAAAGTGCCTAAGAATGTTAACTATTATCATTAGACTAGAGGCCTGGTGCATGAAATTTATGCACTGGGGGAAGGGAGGGTGTCCCTCAGCATGGCCTGCGTCCTCTCTCAGACTGGGAACCCTCAGACATCGTTAGCGCTGCCGTGGAGGCAGGAGAGGCTCCCACCACCGCCACTACGCTCGACAGCTGTAAACCCAGCTTCTGGCTGAATGGCGCGAGCGCACTGACCACCAGGGGGCAGCTCCTGCGTTGAGCGTCTGCCCCCTGGTGGTCAGTGTGCGTCATAGTGACCGGTTGTTCTGCCGTCAGGCCAAAACCAGCTCTCCAACATGCCCCAAGGGGTCCCAGATTGTGAGAGGGTGCAGGCTGGGCCGAGTGGTCCCACCGGTGTATGATCGGGGCCGGGGAGGGACATGGGAGGTTGGCCAGCTGGGGAGGGACTGCGGGAGGGCTCCAGGGCATGTCCAACCCATCTCACTCAGTCCCAATCGGCCAGACCCCAGCAGCAAGCTAACCTACTGGTCACAGCATCTGTCCCCTGTTGGTCAGTGCACGTCATAGCGACTGGTTGACCAGTTGACTCTCTGCTCCCTGGTGGTCAGTTCACATCATAGCAAGCATTTGAGTGGCCTTAGCATATCATTAGCATATTCCACTTTGGTTGAATGGACGACCGGACACTTAGCATATTAGGCTTTTATTATATAGGATTATATAGGATTCTTGTGAGAATGGTTAGAGTGACAAAGAATGTGGACATTTTTAAGTCTGTTGGTAAATATTGCCAGATCTTGTCTTTAAATTATTATGTATTTATACCAAAATATGGCAGATAAACCCTCATTTTATGTATCTCTGAGAAATGAGGTCATATAGGTAGAGAGAACCTTTTTAGGAATAATTTTATTTTGGCTGAGAAAATGATTTCAGCTCTTCCTTTTTATATAGGTGGCTATGAAGAGTTTCTTGAGTTTCAGAGAGCAAACGAGATGGTTTATTGATTCTTGGTATTGCTGGGGTTGCATTTGTAGCTGAGTAATGGGATAGGAATGTCTGACCTAATAATTACCTCTCTTTGCATCCTTTTGTTTTTCAGGGCAAAGAGCAGGAACACACGTTTGTCTTTAGACTGGACCATCCAAAGGCGTGCAAGCATTTATGGAAATGTGCTGTGGAGCACCATGCCTTCTTCCGCCTCCGAGGCCCTGTGCAAAAGGGTTCTCAGCGATCAGGATTTATCCGACTAGGATCACGATTTAGATATAGGTTGATGTTAATAGCTTTCTGCTATATCTTTCATTCTTTCATAGAGGCCAAAACAGGCCAACCCCTCATTTTATAGATGTGGTAACTAGGGCACAGAGAAATAAAGTGGCTTGCCAGTGTTTTCGATTGGCCAAAATAAAAGACAGGAAATTATGTTGTTAAATTTCCAAAATTGATAGGAAACATTATAATGCTGTAATGGATTTTATATCCCTGTTGACCTTTACTTTATATCTTAATTAGCCTCCAGTTTAAATCCATATAAGAGCGTTAGGTGTCTTCATCCAACAACTGAATACCATATAGAGAAAAGGTATCCTGTGCTGAGTGGGAAATTAATTTGGATAACATTTCTCACCCTTTATAAACCTGAAATTCCATTATTATTCTAGACTCCTTGTTTGTTGGTTGTAAGTAGGAATATTTTGGTTTACCTGAGAGTATACTATTAATTGTGAGTTTTCAACATGCCACGAGAATCAATCAGTATGGTTTTAAAGAAGAAATGTAAATAATGTGGCAAGATAATTTTGTGAGATTCATTCTGTTCTATCTATGTTAAAAGTGGGGAGGCATTTTCTTAACCATTTAAAAGGAAGTCAAGGACAGTGGGACAATAGTTTTAAATATTTCTGGAAAATTATTCTGAAAACTATATTGCAATTAGAAAAAATCTTGAGTTAATTGCACAGTTTGCATTGAAGAATATGAATGGGGAGGAGAAGGGAGTTCCATAAAAGCACAGATATCTAACTTTTTAGTATGTTCTTAGGTGATGTGCATGCTTAAGAAAAAAATTACGTTTATTTTTTGTGTTGCATATTTTACACAAACCTAAGAGTGAAAGAATGATGTCGTGAAGGGAGACGTCAAGACTATTACTAGCAGCACTTCCCTCAGGATGAGATTCAGGGTGGTTAAAGAAGAATCCCAATGTAGACTTTCTCCCATTTATGTGTCTGATTACTGTAGGTCTTGAATTCTCTTATTCCTGTTATTATCTTACTTATTTTAGTGGGAAAACTGAGTATCAGACCACGAAAACCAATAAAGCAAGAAGATCAACATCCTTTGAAAGAAGGCCCAGCAAACGATATTCTCGACGAACTCTACAGATGCAAGGTGAATGCAGCCCTGTTTCAAAGGACTGTTCTTTCTTGTCACTTTTTCATGTTGTTGGTACTAGTATTGTTTACTTGAGAAGATGTTGTCTGACTCTTAAGTTTGTTCGAGTCAACTAAAGTACTCTTCATTTATTGAATTTGATTCAGGCATAATCAATTTAATAAAATAAAATGCAAAGGGAAAAAGCCTACATGGTTGCTGAGATTAAATTTTATGATAATCCCAATTTAAACACCATACCAAGTTTGTGTTCATTTTTTTTGTTCGTATTAACTATTTTAGTTATTCTGTAGAAAAACATTTTTCTTCCCTTTTTGTCTTTTAGATCTCACTCATAATAATGTTTAAAATCCCCATAGGAACTTTTAAAAACATTGATAAGTGATGAATCAATTTTAAGTAAAGATTATGTTATATGGTATTATAATATTATTAAGGATTCTGTGAAATAACAGTTATTAAGATAATAAATTTAATCACTGTATATTTATCATAGACATTTGCAAATTCATAAATGTTACTTCCAGTAAATTACTTTAACTATATAATAACAAGCATGATTTACTTTGACAAAGAAACTAAAACTTGTGTTTGGTTTCAAATCTAAGTTTGTATTAAGATACAGATTGAGCCTTGGCTAGTGTGGCTTAGTTAGTTGAGCATTATCCCATGCACTGAGAGGTTCTGATTTAATTCCTGGTCAGAGCACATGCCCAGGTTGTGGGCTTGATCCCCAGTTTTAAACAATTTGTGATTGTTTAAAACTCTAAGTTACCTGTTATTTTGAACTGACAATGCTCCATTGTCACTCAGTTCACTCTAGAAGGCTTGCTGATGGTTTTGTTTTAAAAGAAGAGATATACGCTTATTTTATTTATTTAAAAAATGGAAGTAATTTTCATATTGACTTTAATGATGTGAAATGAAGGTTTTTAAATCTATGGTTGGGAAACATGGCTTACAAAACATATAGTCCAGACTTGCTTTTATGAACAGTGATGCAGTTTACCATTAAGAACAAACTAATGAGACTTTTTTTTTTTTAATTCTGTCAGCAGGTACAGCAAAACCTGAAGAACTCAGGTGGGTAATGTCTTGCATCTTAGGAATTGACATAGAATTTTAAAATTTATGTAGTTGCTATCATTAATTGAACAAGTATTTTGAAGATATATCAAAGTGTTAAGTTGTCACTAAGCATTTGGAAATAGACACATAATGCCAAACACAAAAAATAAAATAACGCAGTTTAAAGAAATAAAAAGTGGGGTGGGTGTGGATGTGCTATTTATAATGAGAATGACATACATTAGTTATTGGCAGGTGACTGAGGATTTAAAGATGAATAAATTATGGTCCTTGCACACAGTGCATGCGAAGAAAGGTTGATTTGTAGATAAGCAATTAATTTTATTTGTGGGATAAATTTCACTTTGTCATGGTGTATAATCCTTTATATTACATATTGCTGTATTTGGTTCACTAATATTTTGTTGTGGAGTTGTGTGTCTATATTCATCTAAGATATAGGTCTGTAGTTTTCTTATAATGTCTTCACCTGTTTTTGGTATCAGGTATCTTGCTTCACCGAATTGAGCTGGGAAATGTTTCCTTCTCTTTTGTTTTTTGGAAAGAGTTTGTAAGAATTGGTATTGAGGGTCACGGGACTAAGCCACACTAGCCAAGGCTCAAATGTATGGTAGAATTCACTATTAAAGCCATCTTGCCTGGAGCTTTTCTTTGTGTGAAGTTTTAAAATTCTAATTCAATCTCTTGTTATCGGTCTATTCAGATTTCATTTTCAGTCAGTTTGAAGTTTGTGTTTTTCTAGAATTTTTCCATTTCATTTAAGTTATGTAATTTATGGCTTACAGTTGTTCATATCATTTCCTTTTCCTTTTTATTATTATACTAGAAGCCCGGTGCATGAAATTCATGCACAGGTAGGGTCCCTAGGCCTGGCCAGCTATCAGGACTAATCTGTGGGGCGACCGGCAGGGTGATCGGGGGGAGGGGGGCTCCCCCCCCAGCACCCGCCTTGGCTGGCCTGGGGCCTGCGGGCTGGGGGCAGCTTCTGCATTTAGCGTCTGCCCCCTGGTGGTCAGTGTGCATCATAGCGACCAGTTGTTCCACCGGTTGTTCCGCAGTTCGGACAATTTGTATATTAGGCTTTTATTATATAGGAAGGTTGGTAGTGATGCCCTATTATTCCGTTTTTTAAATCCTTACCTGAGGATATGTTCTTCTTGATTTTTAGAGAAAGAGAAGTATCGATCAGTTGCCTCCATACAAGCTCCAACTGGGGATCGAACCTGAAACCTAGGTATATGCTCTGACTGGTAATTAAACCCCCACCCTTTTGTTGTGCGGGCCAATGCTCTAACCACTGAGTCACAACTACCAGGACAAGTTTGTCAGTTTTGTTGGCCTTTTCAAAGAACAGTTTTTGGTTTCATCAATTTTTCTCTATTTTATAATTTTTTAAAAAAAATATATTTCTTTATTGATTTCAGAGAGGGAGAGAGAGAGAGAGAGAGAGAGAGAGAGAGAGAGAGAGAGAGAGAAATACCTATGTGAGAGAGACACATTGATTGGTTGCTTCTTACAAGAGCCCCAACCGGGGCCGAGATTGAACTGCAACCCAGATATAGTCCTTGATCAGGAATCGATCCCATGACCCTCTGGTACATGGGCCAATGCTCCAACCAATGAGTCACACCGGCCAGGGCAAGATCTTTATTCTTTTTTTAATATAACATTTATAGCTATAAATTTCCCTACAAGCACTGCTTCAATCACATTCCATACGTTTTGGTATGTAATATTTTCATTTTTATTTATCCCAAATTATTTTCTATTTCTGTTGTGATTTCTTCTTTGTTCTGTGGTTACTTGAGAGGTGTTGCTTGATTTCCACATATTTGTGAGTATCCTAAATTTTCCTATCTTTTTTTTGTTGTTGTTAATCCTCACCCAAGGATATTTTTTCCATTGATTTTTTAAAGAGAATGGAAGGGAGGGGAGGGGGAGAGAAAGAGAATCATTGATGTGGGAGAGACACATTGAGTGGTTGTCTCCCACACACCTGGACCAGGGCCAGGGACTAACCTGCAACCCCGGTACATGCCCTTGATCGGGAATCCAACCTGCAACCCTTTGGTGCCCAGGCAGACACTCTAACTATTGAGCAATGCTAGCCAGTGCACTTTTTTGGGGGGGTAATTTTATACCATTATGGTTAAAGAACATGATTTATATGATTTTGATCCCTTTAAATTTATTGCAACTTGTTCTATGGCCTAGGATATTTTTCCTAGAAGATGGTCCATGTGAGCTTGAGAAGAATATAGATTTTGCTATTGTTGAGTATAGTGTTCTGTGATGTCTATTACAGGTCTAGTGGGTTTATATTGTTGTTCAAGACTTCTACTTCATTGTTAACCTTTTGCCTAGTTCTATTTAGTATTAAGACTAGGGTTTTGAAGTCTTCAATTATTGTCTATTCCTCCCTTCACTTCTTTCAGTTTTTGCTTCATGTATTTTGAGGCTTTTTCTTAGGTGCGTATCGTATCTTATAAAAGAGAAACATGGTAATTAGCCGTACATCCGCTACCCTTCCAATTGGCTAATCAGGGCGATATGCAAATTAACTGCCAGCCAAGATGGCGGCCGACAGCCAGGCAGCTTAAAGCGAACAGGAGGCTTGCTTGCTCCAGTGACTCGGACTCCAGCGTTCCCCGCCTGACTTGCCGGCCTCTCAGCTGCAACTCTAAGCAACTATGTTGCAAATATAGAAGCTAAACAAAACCCCAGAAACCTGCTTTAGTCAGCCGGGCTTCAGCCAGCTGGACCGCAACATTGTATCAAATACAGAAGGTAAACAAAGGCCAGAAACCTGCTTTCAGCAGCAGAGGCCTCAGAGCTAAAGCTGGCCCAGAATAAAAAAAGAAAAAAGAAAAAAAGGAGCGGTTGGGAGCTTCAGTCACCCGCCAGCCTGAAAACGGCCCTCAGCCCCTCAGCCAGACTGGCCAGGCACCCCAGTGGGGACCCCCACCCTGATCCAGGACACCCTTCAGGGCAAACCAGCCGTCCCTCACCCGTGCACCAGGCCTCTATTCTATATAGTAAAAGGGTAATATGCCTCCCGGCACCGGGATCAGCATGACGGGGGGCAGCGCCCAAACCCCCTGATCGCCCTGCAGCTCTGTGTGTGACAGGGGGCGGGGCCACAACCTCCCTATCCGCCCAGCTCTGTTCGTGACAGGGGAAGGCGCCCCAACCCCCTGATCAGCCCTGCTCTGTGCCTGATAGGGGGAAGCTCCCCAACCCCCTGATCGCTCTGCGGCTCTGTGTGTGACAGGGTGCAGCGTCCCAACCCCTTGATCAGCCCTGCTCTGTGGGTGATAGAGGGCGGCGCCCCAACCCTCCCCACGGGCCCTGCTCTGTGTGTGGCGGGGTAGAGCCATAACCTCCCCATCGGCCCTGCCCTGAGTGTGACAGTGGCGGCGCCCCAACCCCCTGATTGGCCCTGCTCTGTGGGTGATAGAGGGCGGCGCCCCAACCCCCTGATCCGCCCTGCTCTGTGTGTGACAGGGGGCGGTGCCCCAACTCCCCTATCGGCCCTACTCTGTGAGTGACAGGGGGGAGCTCCCCAACCCCCTGATGGGCCCTGCTCTGTGCATGACAGGGGGGGAGCTCCTCAACCCCCTGATCGGCCCTGCTCTGTGTGTGACAGGGTACGGAGCCCCAACCCCCTGATGGGCCTTGCTTTGTGCATGACAGGGGGTGGCGCGGCAACCTTCCCCATTGACCCTGCCTTTGAGTGTGACAGGGCGATGCCCCAATCTCCCAATTCGGCGTACCTGAGCGTGACTAGGG